TATGGTAGAGTCTCTCTCTCTCTCTCTCTCTCTCTCTCTCTCTCTCTCTCTCTCTCTCCCCCACCATTCCCTTTTGGCCCTTATGGTTTGCAATACAGACATTGAAAGTTTATCATGCATATCCCTATATCTACTTTCAACACTCAGTTCTTGTCCAGAGTGACCTTCAACTATTATTGTCTATCTCCCTTCAGGGATAGAAGCCTTTGGTTATGCCAACGAGGTCTCCAGGTGAGCCCTTCTATAGCTTCAGGAGGAGGGCTGGGGACCAGAAAGGATGACCCTATGACAAGAGTTGAAACTCTGGATCATCCTGACTGACCTAGGGAGAGAAACTCTACTCTGAGCTCATTTGCCCGATCGCTGATTTCATCAATCCTGCCAATACCATGTTGCCCCTATAAACCTCGCTTGAGGAGGCATGGCCCAGCTGCCATGTAGACAGGAGTGTGACACATTCATGTAATAGAAGGGAGATGCATACGGATTCCACAAGAAAGAGACAAAAAAGCTTTGCAGTCCCTTTCAGATGGGCCTCTGTGAGTTTCCTCACTGGCTGGGGCCTAACCTATTTCCTGAGTGGTAATGAGACCATAAAGACAATCAGAGCACACATTGAGTTCTATGGGCCCTTCGAGGCTTTGTACAACCTGAAAGTGTCATGGGAAACTTCAGGTTTAACAGTTCACTGGCGAGAAATGCAGGGGGCCTGTGGACATGCAAGGGATAGTTGGTGGTATCTGAGCAAGGACAGCCTCAGACTTGTGGGGTGCTTAGTGCGAGAATTCTGCAGCACCAGGTGGGCTTGGATGTCACTGTGAATTGGGCTCTCACTGGCAATCGGAGGTACTGGCATTCAACAGGCATGGTGCACAGCATAGCGAGTAGGGCGCTTGTCCTGTATGCAGCCAACCCGGGTTCAATTCTCAGAACCACCTAGGGTCTCCTTACCCCCACTAGGAGTGATCCCAAGTGCAGAGCCAGGTGTAAACCCTGAGCACCATGGGGTGTGTTTTCCCGAAACAGAGCACAAAATACACAGTGCCCTAACTGCTACCTCTGAGAGTTCCGAATAATTTGCATGTAAATATTTGTTGAGCATTTAAATAAGTGCCTAGGTTTTAAGTTCAGAATTTGAACCAATCTCCTACAATGGCTGAAGATGACTTAAAACTCTTAATTTATAAAGTTTCTTCAAGACCTGTCATTCCTGAATAGTTTCTAGAAGAGTCTCAAGTAAGTCTGTCACTTAAAGTAACTCTGATTTCAAAAAATGCTAAAAACTTTGCATGAACTCTCCTATTTGAGGCCAATCACACCGAGCCAGGCACTGGATGTCTGAGGTGTAAGAACTTAAACATGAGGCACAATTCAGCAGAAATATTTCCAGGTCTCTCTGCCTTGGTTGAGCCTGGCAGACCACAGCAGAAGCCCAGGGCATGTTGCTGCCAGGGCACCATCTGCCTCAAGCTTCATTTTCCCCCATTGCTAACCATCAGTTTCTCTCTCCTCCCACAACCCATAATGTAAGGAAAAGAAGATTTATTTCTGCCTCTAATGATGTACAATTTCTGGACAACAGTGCTTCATCTACGAGGACAAAAATGACAACAGCAAAGTCCAATGGGACAACCTAAAGATAGGTATTAAGACTAGAATAATATAAAAATCAAAATTCTACCCTCTGATATTCAAGTGAACTTCTAGAGATGGGTTTGGCTGGGACTTCTCAAGAATTTAAGCGGGACAGACCCGGAAGTGCTCTGGCTGAAAGTGCTTATCCCCTAAAGCAAGCCAGCTGTGGACATGCTACATTTGGGCCCTTAGAGTTTCATGTTCTTTCATCAGCTTGTGAAAATTCAAGAGAAATCCATGTGTCCACTGGCACAACTGCTAAGAACATTTTCTGGCATTGCTGCAGGAAAGAGGGCGTCACCCCAACCCCTTTCTCTCTCTCTCTCTCTCTCTCTCTCTCTCTCTCTCTCTCTCTCTCTCTCTCTCTCTTTCTCTCTCCTCCCAACCCAGTGGCGTGTCTTCCTGTGTAACTTGAAAATGAATGAGGTGGAACCTGCATTTGGACACAAACTTCTCCTTTTCCTTTACCCCAAAGTAGAAATTAGCCTTCTGTGAAAACCAAACAAGGCTTTGAATTTTTTAACTTTTTGAATGTGAGCAAACTGTCTCACAATCAGAATCATCTCATCAATCCTCATCAATCGGATCACTCACTAAAAAGACTCCCCCAAATAGCAATAATTTACTGAAATCCATTTGCAAAACAAGTTCATGTGTGAAGGGAAGCATTTAGTGTGACAAAAGTTATTTTGAATAGAACTTTGGTTCCTACTTCAAAATAAGAATAATTAATACAAAAGTAGCAAATCACTCATTTTATGATGTCTTGTTATTCTACTTTGAAAGTATATTGAAATGCTTTAAAAACAATAAGTCATATTATGGAAAAAAGCTTCCAGGAGAATTTGGCAGTAAAAGAACATTCAGTATCTTACCACCAAAAAAAAAAATCCTTAATACATAAACCCATGTGTTTTTTTCTTGAATTTGAAATATAACTATTACGGATCAACTTCTGAGAATTTGATTTTAAAAAAATCAGTACATTCACTGAATATTTGAGAATCTATATCAAGTTCTCAAAGAAAGCATTACCCAAGTTTCTGTCATCTCAAAATTACCTACCAGAGCAATAGGCAGAGATCTGGTAGAAAGATGTGTTCTAAGTACTGACTTTAAGACAGAACTCTGAGACAGAGTCCCAGATATCTGCTACCTAGCTGTTTCAGCACTGACGTATCCTCAGTCTAGCATCCAGGGACCTGGTTTTCTCTTTAAGCTTCCCAAGGTAGGAAGCTAGGACAGAGAGGACCTGGAGAAGATCAGAGAAAACCTTAGTGGTCTTTCATGCCACCGCCCAAATATTTCCTCAAGGGAACTATATTCCCCCAAATCTAAAGACTGTTAATATTTAAGATTTCTGCTAGAGCTTATAGAAAACCTGATTCCCAGATATGGCCAGCCATATGCTCCAGAACTACAAACTCAAAGTGGATGGAAAAATAATTTTACCCAAATTTCTACCCAAGTTCAATCCCTGGCACCAGATGTCCCTAAGACCCAGGATTTGGGGGTGAGCCCTGGTGGCCTTCTGGGCCCAAGCAATACTGAGTTACTGGCTGAGACAGAAGCTGGGTCACTACTGTCAGGAGAGAGCCCCGGACCCATGATTGCTGCTTAGGGATCAGTTTCCACCCCAAATTAAAGGAATCCTCAGGACCTTCCAAACAAAGTTCATCTACTTCTCCCATTTACCTTCATGTAAATGCTTTAAGATGCCAGCTGGATTCTGGAATGGCAGCAAGTGGAGACTTCAAGGCATGATTATGGTGGAAAGAGGAAAGCAGGGTTCAAGAGGGAGATGGGGATCACAGAGCTGGGAGAGTGATCAGGAAAGGTTAAGAGATTGAGGGTATTGTGGGGGTGAGAGACCGTGGTACTTGTTTCTGCAAGTCAGCAGTCAGGAAATGCTGGGTCAGTGTGGAGAGAGAATGCCCAGTGTTTGTCCTCTCTTGCCATGCTGAACCAAGATCATCCTGCCCACAATTTTACTCCCCGTCTTCTTCATAACCCTGCTCCCTCAAATTTGTAGTAGCTTCAAAATAATAGTGGAGAATTCAGTTTAGAACACAGCTTTCTTTCGTCCCATCAGAATTCTGAGCATAGAGACTTTGATTACCAGTGGGAAGTACACACAAAAGATGGGTCGAGCCCAGCCTGACAGACAGACAGAGCTGGAGATTGATGAGATCAATTTTGAAGCTTTCCTGCTGTCATTTTCTAGGTTACAGATGTCAGCAATTTGTGTGTGTGTGTGTGTGTGTGTGTGTGTGTGTGTGCGTGTGTGTGCCTCTCAGCCTTATATTTCAAAGTGCATCCATCCCACAGTTATCAGGAACCACTTTATATATATAACCCACAGGAAACGAGTCACTTTACGACAAAATAGCATTTTAGAAAGTGTGGTCTACTACAGGTCTGATTCAATTAACAGGATAGAGAATAAAAACTTTAGAAGTCAGGGGCTGGAGCCATAGTACAGTGGATAGGGTACTTACCTTGCAGGTGGCCAACCTGGGTTTGACCTCCAATACTCTATAGAGTTACTTAGCCCTGCCAGGAGTGATCCTGGGCACAGAGCTAGGAGTAATCCCTGAGCACCACTGAGTATGTCCCCTCAAGACAAAACAAAATAAACAAAAGCTTTAAAAGAAAGTTCTACTTAAACCTAATAAACGTTTTGTTTTCCTTTTTGGGTCACACCTGGTGATACACAGGGGTTGCTCCTGGCTCTGCACTCAGGGGTTACTCCTGGTGGTGCTTGGGGGACCCTATGGGATGCTAGGAATCGAACCCAGGTCAATCTCATGCAAGGCAAACACCCTACCCACTGTGCTATTGCTCCAGTCCCGACCTAATAAATTCTAGAATAAACAGTAATCCCATTTCAAATTTTAGCTATCAAATGCATCATTAAGCACTAAAATAACAAGCATTTAAATGACTGGCTTGTCAACTTCTGATCACTATTAAAGGTACCAAGAAGCATGTGATGCTCTGTACCAAACTAGACATCTGAACAGAGGCATCATAGGACACATGTGGGGGAGGTGGTCTCCAGCGAAGAGTCCCAGCGCTCTCCCTGGCATTGGGCACAGAAAACTTTGTCAGACCAAGGGCTGTCTCAGTGGACAGCTGACAAGATGGAATGAAACGATCATTTTCTCATCACCCTTCAAAGAAATTTCCACTTAGCCCCACGGCCCTGTTTTTTCAAGATTCAACTAAGCAGTTCAGTGCTGAGTAGGATCTGAACTGGGGTTTTAATCAAAGCTCTGAAACCTTCCTCTTCCTGGTTCACTGCTCTCACTGGGAATATTGCGGAGAGCAATCAGAGAGGAGCAAATGCCACTGGCCTCACTTACCTGCCATGTCGATGGCAAAAGGCCGGTCAGCTCTCCAGCCTGTGTACCAGCCAACAACTTTGCCATTTTCCACCAACGGACGTTCATAGCGGCGCCCACCAACCAGGCCCACTGGCCAGACGGACACCTTGCGGGTCGTTCGCATCTGTAAAGGGGATAGAGATGGTGATTGAGTTTCTTCAGAGAACAAAACCTGAAGGGAGGAAAGGAAGGAGAGCCACAGGGAAGAAGTGGGAGGGTTGGGATGGGGATTTCGGAAAGCTGAGAATTTCCAAAGAGAACCCTTCTGCTGATAAGCGTGAGAGCAAGCGCATTATGCTTGAGCTATGGGTGCCTTCGGGTTACAGCTGCCTTCAGAATGGGGTGCAGGTTGGGGCCAGACAGACAGTGTACAGAGGGTAAGAGGCTTTGCTTGGCTCTCCCCAGTAGATTCCCCAAACACCGCCAGGAGTGATCCCTGAGAGCAGAACCTGGAGTTACCCCCGCCGGATGTGACCCAATATCAAAAGCAAACAAAAGAAATGGAAGCGGGATGCCTTAAGTAAAACAGAGGCGTGTTAATACCTGCACAGTGCTTATCTGAAGTTGTAACTGTCAGGATTTCCAATTTATTTCAGAGTTGAAGCTTTTCTACAATACCGTCTAAATTCTGAAATGAGCAAGTTTAGCTCCCTTTAGGAGACTGTGAAGGGAAGCAGCAATAAAAAAAAAATTACTCAGACGAGCCACAGGGGTTCTCTTTCTCTTAATTTATATCGGCACCCAGAAACTTCAGCTGACACATTAACAATCGAACCAGAACAGACAGCAGGCATCCTCCAGAGTGACAGAAGGAAAACCTCCCCACCACTCACCCATCAAGGTCAAGTGGCTGAACTTGAAGGAAACCACCAGCTGCAGTAGGGGGCACACGGTGGGGAACCCAGGAGAGTTCTGGGTAAAGAAAAACCTCAACTACAAACTATTTACTGAATTTCTTCAAAGGAAAATACATGGGGAAAGGAGTCAGGCCACTGAATTGTCCCAGGTAGATTGATTTCCAGGATGAAAACTCTGAGGTCTTCTTAGAATAGGGGAAGGCAGATTCTACTCTCTTCCAGAAAGGCCCCCGCAGCCAACCTCCTCCAACATATAGAAATGGCCCAGCTGCATAGCCCCTGGAGAGTGTGGCCACGTGACACCTCCCCCATATGTCACAGTACGAACAATCCAGTAAGAGCACAGCAAATTTGACCACTGGTGGAGGCCATAATGGAACCCATTCACCATGCTACGAGATCCTATAGGTACTTAAAGTCAGCTTCACCCATACCCGGCATGCAGCTGAGCTGGTTGGGGGCTGAGAGACCACCATCAAAGTGTCTATACCTCTGCAGCTAGGTGAGGAAAGCCTCTTCCACAATGGGTGCTGGGAAAACAGGACAACCATTTGTTAAACAATGAAACCTGATCCATAACATCACATTACATCATATCCATCACATCGTATCACTGTATTGCTGTCATCCCATTGTTCATCAATTTGCTCGAACAGCTGCCAGTAACGTCTCCATTCGTCCCATCCCTGAGATTTTAGTAGCCTCTCCTTACTCGTCCTTCCCAATGGTGCCATATTGGAGGCTCTATCAAGGTCAGGGGAATGAGACCCGTTATTGTTACTGTTTTTGGCATATCAAATAGATCACAGGAAGCTTGCCAGGCTCTGCCATCACATCATCTACCAATATTCAAATTGGATTAAAGACTCAGAGATTAGATCAGAAACCCTAAAATATACTGAGGAAAAATACAGACAGAACTCCCCAGGATCTGGACGTCCAAGAGATCTTTAATGCCCTAATTCTACTGGCAAAAGTAACAAAAGAAATAAAAACCAAATATAAGTGGGACTATATGAAATTAAAAGCTCCTATGTGTCAAAAGAAACCCAGGCTAAAATAAAAAGACAGCCAACATACTGGGAGTAGATATTCACAGATGACACTTTAGATAAAGGACCGTCCAAAACCTATAGAGCATTCACAAAGCTCAGCAATAAAAAAAGCCAACACTCCTTCCCCCCAAAATGGTAAAGAAATGAACAGACACATCCACAAAGAAGACATGAATGGCCAATAAGCATATGCTAAAGTTTTCATTATCACTTACTGTCAGGGAAGCACAAATCAAAATAGCAATAAGGTATCACCTCACAGTGGTGAGAAGGCCTATCTCCAAACAAACTAAAGCACAACAAAATTTGGCAGGGATGTGGAGAAAAAGAAACCCTTACCTACTTCTGGAGTACCAGCCTTTTGGGAAATAAGATTTCTCAAAAAAGTAGAACTGGAGGGGCTGGAGCGATAGCATAGCAGGTAGGGCGTTTGCCTTGCACGCAGCCAACATGGCCGACCCGGGTTCGATTCCCAGCATCCCATATGGTCCCCCGAGCACCGCCAGGAGTAATTCCTGAGTGCATTAGCCAGGAGTAACCCCTGAGCATCGCCGGGTGTGACTCAAAAAGCAAAAAAAAAAAAAAAAAGTAGAACTGGAGCTCCCAATTGACACACTTGAAACCACTAGGTATCTACCCACCAAACACAAAAACATTAATTCAAAGATATAGGTACATCTATGTTCATTGCAGCTCTGAGTGCAACAGTCAAGATATAGAAGCAACCCGAATGTTTAACAACAGGTGATTGGGTAAAGAAGGTGTGATACATATCCATAGTGAAATATTTGCAGTCACAAGATTAAAAGATAAAACCATACAGTTTGTAGCAACTTGGATGGAATTGGAGAGTATCATGCTGAGTAAGAGAAACCAGAGAATGATCTCATTCATTTGTGATGTGTCGAGAAATAAATCAAGTGTATGGACAATATGAATTGATAATAAACCTTGGATACCTGAACACAGATTATGTGGAGGAACTCTTGGCACTCTCACCATTATTATTCAACATAGTACGAGAAGTCCTGGTCACATCAACTAGTAAGCAAAGGAAAATCTAGTAATTCAAATTGGAAAAGAAGTTAAGCTCTCACTTTTTTGCAGATGATATATGTAACATATACAGAAAATTCTAAAGGCTGCAAAAAACTGTTAGAAATAATAAACCAATAAAGTGTCAGCCCATAAAATATATAAAATCTTATTGTATTTCTACATGCAAACAACAAACCAGAACAGAAGTAAAAAGATCCCACTTATAAGTGCATCCAAAATTATCAAATACCTATTATATGAATCAACTTAGCAATGGGTTGAAAGCCTTTATATTGAAAACTAAGTTATCAAAATAAATGCAAGATATAAAAATAGATTAGAAAAATTGACATTATTAAATTAGTATTCTACCAAAACCACTATATCAATATAATCCTTATAAAATTCTAATGGAATTCTTCAAGGTAATAGGGAAAAAATATGGCTGAAACTATGGAGCCTTAAAGTCTCTAACCAGCCAAAGAAAGCCCACAAAAAGATGGAAAGTATTATGTTCCCCAATATTAAACTCGACTTTAAAAACATGGTAATAAAAAAGTGGTATTTGGAATAAAAGCAGACCCTCAAACCAATGGAATTGAACTGAGAGCCAGAAATAAGCCCTAAATATATGGACAGTTAATTTATTATGAAGGGGTCTAGAATATAAAATGGAGAAAAATCTCTTCAACAAATGGTGTTGGTAAAAACTAGATCAAGCAGAAGAAAGAAATTAGAGTGCAGTATCTCAAATAATGCCCCCAAATTAACTGAAAGTAGATTAAAGATTTAGATGCTAGACCCAAATCCATGAAATTTGTTGGAAAAAACTTGCATTTGCCTTCAGTAAAGGCATAGGTTATTGCCTTCAGTGGTGTCTTCAGTGATTGGACTTCACTGGTAAGGGAAACGAAAGCAAACACAAATGAGTCTGCACCAACTAAAATGCACTGCACTACAAAAGAAGCAATTACTTTATAAAAAGGACAGCCTACACAAGGGGAGAAAATATTCATACACTAAAATTTAACAAAGAACTAATATCCAAGATACATAAAGAATGAATAAAAAGCCACAACAGACAACTGCATGGAAAACTGGGAAAGGCGTCAGGAAAGAGAAAGCCCAGGAGGTAAGGCACTGCATTGCATCTGGACAGTCGAGCAGATCTGGGTACCACTGCACTGATAGTCCTCTGAGCTCTAGGGGGTCCTCAGAGGGGCTATTCCTGACCTTGTGCTCAGGAATAGCCCCTCTGAGCAACACAAGGTGTGACCTAATGATTTTATTAAAAAAAACTGAGGAAGACCTGAACAGAGTTCAGTAAAGACATACGGATAAGGGGTTGGAGTGACAGTACAGCGGGTAGGGCGTTTGCCTCGCATGTGGGTTAAATTCCCAGCATCCCATATGGTTCACTGCCAGGACTAATTCCTGAGTGCAGAGCCAGGAGTAACCCCTGAGCATCACCGGGTGTGACCCAGACAGCAAAAAAAAGAAAGACATATAGATAACCAATAGGAAACATAAATCAAAATGACACAGATGTCACCTCACACAGGTGAGGATGGCCTAGTACAGAAACAACAAATGCTGGCAAAGGTGTGTAGGAAAGACAACCCTTATAAACTATTCATGGTTATGCAAATTAGTCTAGTCCTTATAGAAAACCAGGTGAGGTTTTCTTTAAACACTAAAAGTAGAACCGAAATGAGCCAGCAATTGCCTTCCTAGGAATCTTCCTGAAGACTATAAAACCACTAATTAAAAAAGATGCATACATACACAAATGCATTGCAGTTCTATTATAGGAAACAACCCCAGTGCCCAGTGGACAGATGAGTGAAGAAGTGGTGTATACATACACAGTGAAACACTCCCCAATTATATATGAAATCTTCCCTTTTGCTACAACATAGGTGGAAATGGCATGGTGTCAAGCTATTAGAATTAAGGAGAGAGATGAATATCGGAGGATTTAACTCAAATGTGGGATATTAAGACTCAAAGTAAGGGAACAAAAGCAAATGAAAATCCTAGATTCTGACTGCAGAGCTGAGGTTACCAAAAGGGAAGTAGGAGGAGGTTCATCGGGAGGAGGGGGAACAGTGGGTGCTGGTGGAGTGATATTAGTGGTACTGATGGTAGTAATGTGGCTTGAAAAGGTACACTTG